TTAAACTCAGCCCGTTACAAATAACAAGCTAAAATTTGACGCGGGAGCAGCTAGCCATCCTCAACATGTTCTGGAAGCACCAGGGGCGATTCTAGAATCTGAGCTTTAGGGGTGCTCAGCCCCCAGTGCTGACTGTGGCTCTTGGCTTGAACAACGTGGTGGCCATTGGCGTTAGAAGCATTCATAATGTGGGAAGGGGGGCAAACTGTTGGGGTGTCTGGGGGTCCATCCATCCGTCCATTTTCTTTACCCGCTTATTCCATTTTGGGTCACGGGGGTCGCTGGTGCCCATGTCCAGCAACCACTGTGCGAGGGGCGGGGTACACCCTGGACGGGTCACAAGTCCATCACAGGGCCACATAGAGACAAACGAGACAAACAAACATTCACTCTCTCACTCACACCTAGAGACAATTTAGAGTTACCAATCAGCCTAACATGCATGTTTTTGGTCTGTGGGAGGAAACCGGAGTACCCGGAGAAAACCCACGCATGCACGGCGAGAACATGCAAACTCCACCCAGAAAGGCCCCTGGACCGGGGTTTGAACCAGGGACCTGCTCGCTGAGAGGCAGCAGCTCTACCAGTTGCGCCACCGTGCTGCCCGGTCTGGGGGTCCTCCCCCAGAAAATTCTGAATAAAGTAGATGCCATTTCGTGCATTCTGGTTTGTTTTAACGGGTTGTTAAACATCTAAATTTACCTCCATAAGTAAAATCTTGATTCAAAAACTATTTTATAGAACATGGCACAAGAAGTAGCGCTAAGCTAGCAGCGTGCAAACACAGCTAGCTAAGATGCTACAGATGTAGCGCTCTGCTTTACATTACACAACCTGATAAACACTTTGTACAAAATCAGTTTAGTGTTAACTGATCATAACTTACAAAGACTAAACGTATGCAACCAGAATTCACAACATACATCTACATACTGTATAAAACACACAAAACTAAATAAAACTATAAGTATTAAACTTTAATTTAACAATTAATTGTACTTGAACAATTTTCAGTCAGGTCATCTGGACAGTTTTTTTTTTTTCTGAAACATTTCATCTTCCATCCAGAAGGCTTCATCAGTCAAGGAAACACACAACACATAACTGATTCTGTTTCAGCAAAAAAAGAAACTGTCCAGATGACCTGACTGAAAATTGTTGGATTGTATACCTAGATTATTGAGCATGGACTTTGTTGGTTTTGAACCAGTTTGACGTGACTGTCGACAAGGAAGAGAGCCGGCACAAGAGGAGGGGGTGTGCCAAAGACACCATCTTAGCACCAACATAACTGGTTTGTTCCATTTTGGAGTAAGCTGTTGGGAGAAGAATCAGTTTTGTTGTGTGTTTCCTTGACTGATGAAGCCTTCTGGATTGAAGGTGAAACGTTTCAGCAAAAAAAGAAACTGTCCAGATGACCTGACTGAAAATTGTTGGATTGTATACCTGCATTATTGAGCATGGACTTTTTTAAATTTTTTTATTAATTGGACTGTACAATGTAATTATGACAAAAAATGAGGATTTACTTTAGTTACCTTCTTACAGATGAACATGTGGTACTTCCTGTTTTCTAACTGTTGTATTCAGCTGCTCATGAGGTCGGCCGCAGCGCTTTATCATCTTTTACATTTTTCCAGACTCAGTTTAGGTTTTGGAAATGGAATAAACTGTATTCCACCCTCTAGAGCAGAACTATTCAATTAAACTGCTCAGGGGTCACAGTTTCTGAAAGCAGCTCAGGGGGCGGACATCCAGCAGTTCAAGTCATTATGTAAATAAGCCAAGTGCTACAATGATCTGTTACCTTTAAATTAGTTTATTTTGTTGCATTGAATCATAAATGCAATGAGCATAACCCAAAACCCAGAATCGTCTAAATATATATATATATATATATATATATATATATATATATATATATGTATTAAAAAACAATTTTTACTGGGGTGCTGAGTTAAGAATTTAGGGGTGCTTAAGCACCCCCAAAGAGGCTAAAATTGCCGCTGCTAAGAGCTCACAACATCACACGAGCTTAGCCTAACACCTGACATGAAAAGTAGAGAGGGACGTGCATTCCTTCAAGGAATGCTTGATCTTTATTTTTCACATGTAATTCCTCACCGAGCGCTTAAATATGACGAGTAACGCAAATGTTGAAACAAACTGCGAATGCACGTGTTAAAGCTGAGAGCTACAGATCGTCGTATTTGCATAACAAAATCTTGAAAGAGCCTGAAAAAAAAAAAAAAATCAGTTCAAGATTCCCCTAAAAGAAGTACCCACAGCCTCAACTTCAACTACGAGTGTTTTTTTTTGTTTTAGACCAAACATCCTTTTTCTGCGATGTTAGGTTCTACGTAATTGTGGATGGGGTCTAATGTGTGGTCCATTTGCTTCATTAATGGGGCAGACGCTAGTTGTTCAGCCAAGAAAACGCCCATTGTTCCCCTTACCTTCGCGCTTTTAATGTGTAGCATTAGTGCGGGCAGTTGTTAGTGCTGGACCGTAGTGCTTTGATGACGGTCAAATGACAAAGTCTTAATAGAATATAGTGGGATACGCAGGACAAAGGCGGGCAATGTTCAGCTGGATGCAGCCAATTTCTGTGTGAGAGGCCTGCCTAAAAACCCTATTCATAGGCCGTCTAATGCTGGTGCGTAATTAAACGTGATTACTGGAGCAGAGGGCTTCGCTCTGCCTCTCTGAGGGCCACACACAGGACTGGAGGGAACGTGCATGTGCTCATTAAGGAGGCGCTAACAGATGTACACAAGCAACAACCACAGGCGTGCCTAAAAATCACATCTTTCCCCCCTGACACAAACACAGAAGTAAAAATTACATTTGTCTGACAAAGAAAAGCAGGAGTGTTGTTTTTGTGTGTGTGTTCTGTGGTTCAGTCTCCACCCAGTGCAGAGAACATGTAAGTTGTTGCGCAATCAGAATCAGTTTTAAGTCAGTGATAACAGGGGGAGGCAACAGGCAAAAGTATAAACAAGACGCAGTTATGGCCCCCGTCCTCACACACCTTGTCTCTCCGCTTCAGCTTCTTGGGCAGACGCAGTCCTCCCCGGTGCTCATGGGAAACCCCGAGCACGCCAGGCCCCACAAAGGCGTCCTTTCAGCAGCCCGCATGCTTGACCTGTGCAGGGTCAGTGCTCTGCTTTGTGCCCCGTGACCCCTGAGTGACCCGGGGTCACGCTAAGGGCCCGAGGTCAAATCTAGATGCCTGCGTCTAATTTCACCTCAAATGGGTTATCCGTTCAAATCTGCCCTAAAATTTACCCCCACCCCTCTGCAGACCCTAGAACCAGAACCATGTAACCCCCCCCCCCCCCACACACACACACACACAAACATACACATACAAAAT